GGGGATATATTCTAAGAATATACCATATGGTATATTCGATCGACAATATTCTTAGAATATTCAAGGGAGAATAATCAATTTATAGACATTCTATGCACATTCTTTCGGGAATAATCCTGCCATATTCATTCAAGCATATTCTATGAATATTCTAAAGGCATGTATATATTCCAAGAATATTCTATGAATATTTGGAATATATACGTTCGTTTTATGATATACAGGGAATATTCCATGAATATCTAGTGCTGTGTGGGCAGCTAACACTTTTTGACTATCTTCACTGGGCATACGCTCTGAAATACGTATCCACTCTTTGATGATTGTCATTAGTATGTATGTATGGGCCGTATTAGAAAACGACGTTTTGGAATGCAACCTGATCAAATTGACCTATTTCACTTACTGGTTTTCAAATTAGCGTACCCACATTGTTACGGGTGAGCAAAATTCCGATACTCAATTAGGTTGAGTATTATTGTTATCACCTACAGTGGTGTTTAGATATGTACGGGCTAGTATTAATAACCATTTTCAGTTTATTTTATTAGTTTGTTTATTGTCTATATAGGACAAACCTGCAGTAATGTAAGTTACAAATAAAGTTGTAAAAAACATAATGAGAAAACCTCTGTGTTATCGCATTTTGATGGAAAAAATTCAGTGTCTTGCGTACATATATTTATCTCAAATCAAAGGATAACAGACAAGTAAATTCCAAATTGGTTATTATGACGAAGAAATGACGTTTCTGAATCTGAATCATGAATCATAGGCTGAATATTTTCAAGAAGGATATAACATTCCAGAAATTATTTTTCCGTCAGAAAAATGCAAAGTATTACTGCTTATGAATCGAATCAGATTTGTTCAAAAGTTTTCACAAAATCTGATTTGGGATGAGTTTCGAGAAATCTGACAATTTGTTTGAAAAAATGTCGAAGAACTCACTGTTCTGATTGTGTGAACAGGATGATAACAGAAATATATTTGAAGTTATTTGAATAAAATGACAAAAAAGCCCAATGAAAAGATGAACAAATTCGATTATCATGAATTCAAGACACCAACCTTAACATACAATGAAATATTTTCGGGTTGTTCTGTTGTCATTTTGTTCAAGAAAAAAATGTAATATAATATTTTCGTAATCTACATGCTCTCTTTTCAGATGATTCTCCTCATTGAAAACCTGGCTTCGTTTGATAGGAGTATGATGACATCTTTCGGGATGCAAAAAACTCAGCAGCATCACAACCGGGCTTGGAAATTTGCGATACTTGGAAGCATTGCTGTTTCAATATCTGCAGTATCGATAATACTGATGGACCTGATAAATTTCCCACCAAAGTGGTCATCAATTTCAAAAATAAAATCAAATATCACTTACTGTGTACCTGTTATCACGAGTAACTTTCTAGTAATGCAATTGTCAGCAATGATATTGATAATTAAAGAAAGATTTCGGTGGATCAATTTAGAGGCAGAAAATCTCCGAAATAAATGGAACGTGAACATCAGAAAGTTCTATTCGTCGTTCTCAGAGTTGGAAGACAACTGGCACTTCATGTAAGAGTCACACTAATTAACTAAAGAACTAATATGCTTTTCGGGTTGCATTCATAACATTGTGATAACTGATCAATATGCCTTTTTGTATTGCCTTCTTATATCAAAAGTAACCATCCGAAAAACATTTCGCATGGAAACAAAATTACGAGCTTTCAAAGTGTGCAAACATCGTGATATGAATTTACGTTTAACAATTCTTTCAGATATATTGCTTTTTCCAACACGCTTTTATTAACTTCACTTGTAGTCTAGTTCACATGTACTTTTTTTGTAACATTTTTCAGCCCTGTCCAAAAATTACGACTAAGGTGTCATTCGATTCGTATTCTTGCCTAGAAAGTTTAAGGAAAGGTCCGCAAACGCGCCGATAAAAATTACAAAAGTTATAAACAATCAGGTGAAAAAAAAATGGGCTTTAGTTTTTTCTTAATATCTTGGAAAATTTTTAAAATTTTGGAAATACGAAAAAAGATTTGAAAAAATCAATGATTTTGCGTAAAACAAGTCACGACTCCCGAAACTGTATCTCGATTATTTATAATTTTTACAGAGCCCTGAAAATAGAGCCAAAAGCTGGTAGTCTGGCTTCCGCGCGCAAAATCATAAATTCTATTGTTCTTTGAGGTTTTGAAAAAACTTTTTTCATTCTTTTTTTAATTGTTTAAGTATTTAAAAAAAATTGTTATGAACCATTTTTTTTTCATTTTTTTCAATACTTTGTTCTATAATAAAAGTATCTATGTGTTTTTTTTATTCTATTTTTTATAAAACTTTTAATATCGTGATACCTCGATACTTGTCTTTTTCATTCGCTCCTTCGCTTTTATAATTATATTAACTTTCAAACTATTGCAGTTATGATAGATATGCTTCAAGTCTTTTTTGTTCATTATGAATTTATTAACAATTTATGCCTTTTACTAAAATTGTAGTCCTATTATTTATTTAATTATTGATCGTTATTTATTAAAAAAGAATTTTTAAGTCTTTTCAACATAAACTTCGTGTCATGTAACAATAAATCATAAGGATTTTATTACTTGCACTTTTAGTTGTTGTAGGATCAACATTCACTTATTGTCATATTTGTATGGGGTTTAAGAAAATGAAATGGAGCAATCAGTCATTCTGTTAATTTAATTTTAATGAGTCTACTCATTAACCTCCTTTAAATTTCCGATGCTCACAAATTACGAAGAGGAGGAGGTTCAAGGACATCACGACAAGAAAATACAGAAGAAGCCACAGTTGATGAGCCACCGCCACTAAAACGATCTAAAAGATCACAAAAAAATTATAAAAATCATAAAAAAACTTTCAACTGTACTGAACATGATTTAATGAATTTTAAAAATGACTTTCAGTATGTTTTTGATTTAGTGAATTCCCTGAAAACTTGAAATTTTTCTTTTTTAATAAATAACGATCAATAATTAAATAAATAATAGGACTACAAATTTGGTAAAAGGTTTAATTGTTAATAAATTCATAATTAACAAAAAAGACTTGAAGCATATTTGTCATAACCGCAATAGTTTAAAAGTTATTATTGAAAGTTTTATAAAAAATAGAATGAATTAAAAAAAAACACATAGTTACTTTTATTATAGAAGAAAGTATTGGAAAAAAAATTGTTTATAACATTTTTTTTTTAAATAAACAATAAAAAAAAAGAATAAAAAAAAGTGTTTGCAAAACCTCAAAGAACAATAGAATTCATGATTGAAAAAAACGGTTCCTTAATTTCAATATTTAGTTGCAAAAAATGAAATTTTTTTAAGAAACCATTTTTCTTCTAAAAATCATAATTTTTTACAATTAACATAATGCAAAAAAAAATTTTGAATTGCTTATAAACAATGTATTTGTTCATAATGAATTCATTAACAATAGCTGTAAAAAATTAAAAAAAATATTAATAATCAGTTTTCGGCCGTGAGACTTCGAAACAATAAAAAATTTAGAAAAAAAATTGGTATTGTATTTTTTATAAAATTATAATTTTCGACTGTTAATAAAAAAATAAAAAATTACAATTTTTTTATTTTGGCAACGGTAATCTATTTTTTTGCCTATTAAGGATAACTTTTTCAAAGGAAAAAATGCCAGGGTTTTAGTTTAATAATTATAGGGATTTTTTTATTAACTTTCAATTCAGAAAAAGTTATTAATTAATAAATTTATAATTAAGGTTAAAAATGGGATAAAAATTTTTTGACTGCGGATAATTGTTTATTGATGTATCCCAACATTACATGAATTTTTTCATTCGTTAATATTCACATTTATTAGTTCAAATAATTTTTTTTGTTATGTCAGAGTGACGAAAGGCGCGCGGAAGCCAGACTACCCGCCTTTGGCTCTATTTTCAGGGCTTTGTGAAAATTATAAATAAACGAGATACAGTTTCGGGAGTCGGAACTTTTTTTACCCAAATTCATTGATCTTTTCAAATCTTTTTTTCAAATTTCCAATATTTTGAAAATTTTCCGAGATATTAAGAAAAAACTGAAGCCCCATTTTTTTTTCACTCAATTGTTTATAACTTTTGTGATTTTTATCAACGCGTTTGCAGACCTTTCTTTAAACTTTCTAGGCAAGAATACTAATCGAATGACACCTTGGTCGTAATTTTTGGACAGGGCTGAAAAATATCACCAAAAAGAGCTAAATCGAGCACATGTGAACCAGACTACTGTATGTTTGTTTGTAATCGACTCTTTCGGACTCAACTTCAAACGGACAGATCCATTTTAAACTTTGTTCACTTTTCAAGAATCATTGTCAATACAATCATTTCGTAAGTTTATCTCATTATCGTGATCGGGATCCCCAGGATTGAATAATTTTCTCGCAAAGTCTCTGTGTGAGAGCAAGTGAGACAACCACACTGTCTGCGCATGCGTACCTACTGTCTACTTACTTTCTGGTTCGAGCACTCGGTTCATAAGTGTTAATACATTTCGTCGCTATCAGTTGGTCCATTGGCAGAGTGGTCTCGTAGATGTCGCTAAGGCGCTCTTCTGCATACTTTCAATTTGAAAATTGACACACATCAAAATAACCTTGAGTAGATTATGACGTGATGTGGAACTCTGCCTTAATTGACCTTCTTTACCTAGCTACTCGTGGGACTTTCATGGACAGGCTGAGGCTGTGTCTGCAGAAGAGATGGATGTCGAGCTTACGACTCCAACTGACCTTCCTGTAAATTTAGATCAGGAGCGAGAGCTTCTCAACTCTCCAACTCCTGATCCATTAACTGAACCTAAAAAAAGGTTTGGTGGTGTAGCCAGGAAACGACTGAGTCGTCTCCTCAACGAGGTACCTTATGAAACCACCTTGCACCAAATTCTTGAGCGGCGTACGCAGAATCTGTCTCAGGTGGAAGAATAAACCACCCATGAGCAGGTTAGCAAATGTGTGCGCTCAAGTGATGATTCAAAACTGGAGGCGAAAAAGCCCTGCACAGTTGAATCTAAGGCGTCGTCAGGTGAAGCTGACTTGCAAAAACCCTAATATGGTAAGGTTGTCGCGGGTATCAAGGTGGGAATCTTGCACCTTGACTGTCTGACCACCTCATTAATAATGAAACACTTTGGGCCTGACCCGCTGCAATTTTGTCAATAGTGAAAACACCTCCATTCCTGGATTGCGTGTGAGGTTTCGATTCAGAAGGTTTTATATTTTTCAATTTCTGTATTTTTGTTTTCAGATATTTTAAGAACCGGATAGTGGATAAAATGGAACATCTTAGGAGAAAATATACCTTTTTACAAACTCAGGTGCAGGAATTGGACTCTACATTTTCGTTGCGGATACTAGCAATAGTATCGCTAATTTTTTTTGCAATACTCGCCATTATTTTGTTTTTCGTGATTGAGCTGCCCAAAGCATATTACAGAAAGAAAACACTTCTGTTCACAGTTAAAGCTATTGAAATTTTGATTTCAAACCTTCTTCAGTTGTTGACTCTCTGCATTTGCAGTACGATGTTATACAAAGAGGTAAGAAAATGATTTTTCTTCTGAGATAATATGAACATTTGCTAGAAACACTACCCACTATAATTAAGACTATTTTGAATCATATACAGGGTCTTTTCTGACTACGGTACGAAAATTCAGAGGGTGATTCGTTAATTTGTTTAAAAAAAAATGTTCTCATATGTCTCATATGTCCGGAGTTGCTTCGTGATTCCATTGTGAATGATTTCACTAGCGCTGAAATGGCTGACATACACTTTATTTATAGATTAGCAAAGAAGCACGGACAGATAAACAAAGTAATTATATGTGCTAAAACATTCAAAACTCTAACATGCAAGATTATGTGAAACTGGGAGTTTTACTAAAAATGCTGGTGGTGGACGACCAGAAACTGTAATAATTCCTGAACTAGAAAAAGCGATACTTGATGCGATAGAAGGAGATCGTTCAAAAAGTTCCAGGAAGATTGCACTGCCGCTGGAAGTCAGCCCAAAAACCGTATGGATAGTTCTAAAAAGAAAACTCCTATACCCTTATCATATACAATGGGTTCAAGCTCTACTGCTTTGGGGTTTTCACCCAAAATCAATGTTTTGCAGGTGATAAATACGATAACAAAAAATGATAATTATTTCATCAAATATTTTATTCACGGACGAAGCAATTTTTTCACGATATACTATCATGAATTTTCACAATAACAATTTTTCAGCCGTTGAGTCACACGTTATTAGAGAAAGTTATTTACAGCAACAATTTTCGCTGAATGTTTTGGTAGGAATGATTGGTGACTACTTAATTGGTAAATGTTTTTCACCAGCAATATCAACAGGTGAATTCATTACAAGAATTGCGGGTACTCGTAAGAGGCACAATGTAGTTTATACACGACGGGACTCCAGCTCATTTCAGTGTTCTTGCTCATCAGTATCTCGTCAGCATACAATTTTCCAATAAGTCGTTGATATACAATAAAAAGAGGGTTGGAGACAATACGGATCCATGGGAAACACCAGCATTGATGGTGAAAGTATTCGAGAGATATCCATTGACGACTACTTGCAGGAAACGTTCTTTCAGGAATCTGAGCCCTTGGAAATATCAAGCACAACATCTCTTGACTCACCATGTTTCTCAATTGCGTTATTCCATATATGCTATATTGATGATCGCTCAAATTGTTGAAGCTTTCCAAATATTCAAGGATATGTTGGTTTTTGATATAACAGATAGCGAAGCGACCGGTCTATAGTTATTTGAAAGATTTTTCCTGTCCTTTTTGGGAATAGGCTGAATGCGAGAAATCTTCCAACAAGAAGGAGAACCCCCTTTTTGTTCAAAAAGGTTGAAAAGTCTGCAAAATACTGGTATGAGTTCATTTGTTCACGATGACGGACTTTATCAGGACCAGATGCCTTATTGATATGGAGATGTTTAAAAATTCGCCTGACTAAACGTTGTCGAAAAGTAATTTATGGAGTTTAGTGTGGGAATAGTGGGTGTTTTGTAGTGATGTAGGATATTATGGAACGCTTTGAATCCTTCAGTCGGATTGTACCACGTTTTTACTCGCTACTTGTCTATTTAGGTAAAATTTTGCAAGCGATTTGAAAATACGGAACCGAGGAGCTGAAGAGATTTGAAACATAGCTTAGAACTGGATGAATTGTATTATTTTTCAATAAATCTGTGAAAGGTCCGAAAAAATAATTCAATGGCTACATATTGAAATAATCAATTGGGAAAATCTTATGGAAATCTGAATATTGGAAATGAGTGTTGGTACATTTTCTGTTCGATTGATGACATCCGAAAAATGTGCTACAAATGAAAATAAAATAATTTTATTGACTGATTCATTTATTCATTCAATAAGCCCTGGATGGAAATATATAAACCATATTTGCTAATTGAATAGAACTGGCCGATACTTAGTTTTTGTAAAACTCTTATAGTGAAAATCATACAATAAACTGTATTGATTAGTTTTTTTTAATTTATATTTGCTACAAATACACCTCTTTGAATTCAGTTGCAAATTTGAGCACAAAATATTAGATTTTCACATGCAATAAATGTACCTAGTTGTTGCAAAACTTGTAAATGGCTTATAGAAAATAACATTATGATGAATAAGCGATGAATACATCAAGGCTCATATTACAATTGTAATACTCAAACTATAAATATCAATGTAATATGCACAAAAAAATCTTTATAAATCACCAAAAATGAGAAATAAATATATCCATGTTTTTTTCTACTTTTATTGAAAAACAAAAGAAAACAGTGGTAAAAAACAGATAAATTTAAATTTCTCATAACGATCTCCTGTCACGTAGTTAATGGCAACATCCATGAATTGATATTTAAAGTTGTTTCAAATTCGTTAGTTCTCGATTTTTTTCCAGCATTTCAACTGTGATTGTTGAACATTGCCTTCTCATAATTTTTTCAACATTTTGCATCAAGAAAGTTATGGGAAAATAACCGAACTGATTCTGTAACGACTCAATGAACTCAATGAAAAATGTATGACGACACTGTAAATTTTCGAATATATCCTGGTTAGAATTTGGATATGCTCTGAAATGGGAATAGATATTTTCCATACTGAGAACATCGTTTTCTTTTCCAAATTCGGAACATATATTACACTTGTGCTTGTCTAAACATTTTTTTATGAAATAACCACAAATATATGTGAAAGCAATCCCTTTATCATGATTCCACAAGCGAAACATGGTCAGTCAGTCTGATACGCCGAAAGCGGTAAATAATATGAAAAATTTTAGACGTGAAAACTTGAACGATCATATCGAGCCATTTAAAGTTTGTAGAAAAATTCATTTCACGAGTGAAATTAACTAAATTGTAGGCAAATATAGGTATACCTATTATTAAAACGTAATTTGTCATGTAATTTTATGATTATATGACTTTTTTCTTTCACCAGGGTTGGTCGAAGAGCTATATAGTTGATGTTTATGGCTGTAAAATGTTATTCCGAGTATCCTTGTGAATTCAATTTGCCATATGACTTCCGATTTGATATACTTGAAATAATGAACAAACAATAAGTCGATTCATTTGAGAATTTGAGTTTTGTATTATTATCTGTAGACGTAGAAAGTTATTTCTAACAATACATATGATATTTTCACTCACAGGCTGAAAACACTTTGTTGATTTTCCAAAGATTTGAGATGGTATCCATGCTGGACATTGATGATTTGGTAAGTGCTTCAATAATGCAGTTATACTAACAGGGTATATCATTCGAAAATGGTCACGCCAAATTATTGACAAACTTTTGATCCAACATCATTTTTACTGAAATTGTCAAGTTATCCGAGTTTCATTACATCGGCGCTATGAGGAGGTCAAACTTATACTATACTATTCAAGTCTGAAAGGGTTTGAAATGATTGCAAATATCGAAAGATAATTTTTAGATCTACTGAAAGAAAATCAGATTAACAATGACAAAGATGTCAGTCAAAAACATACTAAAAGTGATCATTAACTTCAATTATTGATGAACAGCAAAACATTCAACTGACGTGAAACAATATTATTTGTTGGGTAGGTGAGTAGGTCTAATTTTGAATAGTGGAGCTTTATCAACTTCTTCTCAACGAAACAATACATTTGTGAGAAACATGAAACAAAGAACATATGAGAGAAATTCTTTTCTCAGTTCAAACAATCTTCTGATACCCCTGAATATTTCACAGAAAAAATTGGTTTGATTAGGATAAATTTTGAATTTTGCATCATTTCTCTCCTTTCTCATCTACCCTTGAATATAATTGTTTTTAGAAACTAAAGTTATTGGACTACCTACCTATAATGTAAAACTTTGAATCAGAGTATCAAATTCATTCGAAACAAGCATTGTCATTGATATATTTGATAAGTTGGGAATGAATCTGGATAGAGAAGTAGAGGGCCAAAAACTTTCTTTTCCTTCTTAAACTATTCTGTAAAGAAATAAAATTGACCCCCGAATAGGCCCCTAGGAGATGCCTATATAATCAGATATCAGCTTCAATTTTCGATATATTCACATGTCATTCCATGAGTGTTGAAAAACTTCTCCATCAACTGTTGAAATTTCGCAAATGATAAAATACGAGTATAATTTTCAATACAATGGCAAGTTCATTGCATTTGAAACTTTGTCAGATAACTTTTTTCAAATTCCGAGAAATAACTCCACTGTAATGATACAAGTTAATTTCTTGGCCTGATCAAAACATTGATCTTGAGGAAGCTCATTGCAAATCAAAAATAAAACTTTTTCTATTAATTGGCCTTCTCTACAGAGGGCGTTAATGTGTTCAAATTTAATATCTGAGAAAAGCATTATACTCTGATGTGATTCGTTTCCTGTTATAAACAAAGGACGGTTTTTTGAAATAATGAATTTATCATTATTGAAATACATGGCCCCATCATGTTACCCAGTTATATAAAAACTCATAGATTGTTTGATTAAAAAATCTGTATATGTATGTAAACAATTTTTAGTATGGCCTTCCATTTCTCTCACATCCTGCTGGTGTAATTTCTTTAAAGTTATTCGAGGTAGCTGTTGAATGGTTGAATGATTCAGAGACATTTATACTTTTGTAGATCGAATATTTCTCCAATCAAATGTTACTAACCAATGTGGAAATCAGCCCCTTTGATATGTTTACACTGGATATTTCTCTGATATTTTCGGTAAGTACTGACAATTGACCGTTATCGGTTTAGAATAAATATGAAATATCAACTCCATGAGCTATTTTAATGAACAATATTATCAGAAAATAGCCTACATATCTACATTCTGTAATATCATATACTAAAATGATGTTATGTGGCAAAACTTTTCTGGTATCTGGGAAGAGCGACCAAATTGAATATTGAATGAATTGATTGTTCATACAATATTACTTACTTTTTCATTGCACTAGATGATCTGAAGTCAGAAGCAAAACAAAATAGGTACCGGAAAATGTTACTTTCTTCAGTTCAATTTCTGTTCAATGCATAATCATCATTCATTTTTTCAGGTATTGCGAGGAATTTCGTCATATCTTATCGTTTGCATACAATTCTACTTCTATTGATATTGTGTTTTTTTTTCAATATATAAATGATATATAGAATCAATAAAGAGTTTTGAAATGAACCATCGATTTTTCTTTTTTTTTTCGACCCGCTTTTTAGTGTTTTTCTAAGAATATTCATGGGGCATTTTTGTGTCAATGAGAAAACAATGAAAACCAATGGCCAGTAACTTGAACCATAACATTTAGTTTTAAAATATTTCAAATTGTATGTCAACGTTCAGCAAATTATGTATCTCGGTAATTATATATTACATTAGATGCGAGTAATCCAAGATGCCTGACCGTTGAGGAACTTTTGAAATTTCAGAAATGAGACTGTATATTTTTGACGAAATGGACTATGAAAATAATTTTCCAATAATGTGAACAACCTCATAACAACCCTTATATTTGAATTCTAAGAAAACATTAAAATACCTATAAATAAGCTGAAAATTGCTAGAATTTTCTATGAATATTTTGTTATATTTATATATTCCTGCGAATAGCTGAGCGTATTGAAATCGATGAAAGTAATGACTTTTATAATCTTCAAATTTTAACAGAAAATTGTTTACGTATTCCTAAATCGTATATTGTATACTCTAGGATGCTCTCCTTATTGGAATAGTCAAGTATGCCTCAGGAAGTTTGATGATCACCTACGTATCATAATTGAAAATGTTACTAACAGCTGCTTTACTGATATTTCTTGGTATCAAGCAACATTACCTGTGAATCGCGGAGAATTGAGTCTGCGCTCAGCTGCTGAGCGCAGACTCAATGCTGCTGAGCATCATCGCTGGCTTTACCAGAATTCATGTCTTCCATCAACAATGGTTCCCACTTGATACAAATGATACTTCCAGCGAATCTATTTGGTGGTCTGAAACGAAAAGTTATGTGTCTACAGAGCTCAAATCATTTCAGAAAACATGGGACGAACCCACACTAGATATCGTTTCTGACTTCATCACTTAATCCCAATTATCTCCCTCTGAAAAAACTCGCCTCAAAGCCATCAATATTGAAGAATCTGGTGCTTGATTGGCTAAATCTTGGTGGCACTCTAGTGCTAGCCCATCAGCACTCTCCTGGAGGTTGGCGGCTTTGTCGCCATTTTCCCTCGTCAGGATGCCAATAGTCTTATGGTGGTCATTTGAGAGTGCCTTCTGTAGCCTAGAAGCTAGTGGAAAATCTTCGACTGCCTCACAATAGGCTCTCCAGGCTTCTCTTTGTTTTCGCCTACAGACTTTTTTAAACTCATATTGAGATAAATGTCGCCACTTAAATTGCCTGGTATGAACAAGGGACCAAATATAGCATCGCCTAATATTCCTGCCCAAACATTTAGTTTTTCAGAATATTGAATGTGACCTTCTCTGAATCGATGCGGGTTCGCATCACTCCAGTACCGAGAGTTTTGTTTATTTGCATTACCATTCAGCATAAAAGTACATCCATCACTGAAACAAATATTTTTTAATATTCTCGCTTCAACGCGAATTCTTTCAGTCATGAGTTCACAAAACAAAATGCATCAGTCTGAATCATCATCGCCTAGTTCTTGAAGAATTTGTGTTTTGTACGGGTGAAACTTATGTAATCTCAACACCTTTCTAACCGACTCATATGAAAGTCCTGTCACTGCAGATACTTGACGTGTTGATGCAGTAGGCTCCATTGCAAAATTTCCAAGGACCTCAATTTGGGTTGCTTCATTCAGTAATCTTGGGGCATTCCTTTTTTTATTTCGCACTGATCTCGTTTCTCTAAACTTTTCAACTAAATCGCGGACGTACACGTGACTTACACTTTTGTCCGGATGCCTTTCATGAAATATTTGAGCTGTTTTTAAATAACACTTGTTCTGGGAGGCAAATATGAAAATTATCTCCACGCGCTCAGGTATACTGTAAACCATCGTGACAACTACAGCTGAATGACAGTACAGATTCTACAAATGATGAAAACTAATGACATTTAAAAGTCTCAAACAAACCAAAAATTATTGATTCTGACAGAACCCAAAAAACAGATCTTTCCAACTTGTTTTGCAAAAACGGCAAATTGAGTTTTCATTTAACAAAAAAAGTATCGACGGACACTTATCATTTAAAATAATAGTCCGGGGGTAGCATTACAAATAAAAAAGTCATAGTAAGCCGGCTGATATTGAAGTTCGTACAGACTTTGACAATAGGCTGTATTATTGTTTACAAAACAACGGAACCCACTTTGAACATTTACTTAATAGACATCATTNTCAACCCCGTCCGGATAGGACCTCCAGTCCCCTGGCCGTTCCCCTATCCGCCACCTGGGGACGCGCCCGATAGGTAGCCCAACCCACGGGAAAAAGTTAAGTAATATTCATTACTATATCAAAGGTTCCAAACAGTGCATCACAATGAATTCTTCTGTTTTGATTACTGTATTATAATACCACTTTATCATATTTTTATATGTCATGTTATCGAAGAATACCCGCCTATGATAGCGGAGATTCAGATGTCATTCACTATCAAACAGTGTGCTTGATTTTGGGAAAAGTACGAAATGGATCAGCTAAGCATTGTGTTGTCTGAAGTACAGCAGACTGGATCAAATATATCAAGATATAAACGTATTAGCTAATTAGAGTGAAGTATTGGTGTTTTCGGATTCTACGATGGAATTTTCACCCATAAGGTAGAATAATTTCATGTTGTACATAGTATTTTCCATTTATACAAGTGATGGATGAAAAAAATTTTCAATATTGAACCGGATATGATAATGTCATAGTCTAAGAGTCAGCTTAAATCTGACAACACATTTTTTACGGTATCTGAAATTTCGTCCATTGAGACTCCTATACCCAGTAAACAAGCAATGGGTACTAGCTAAGCCAGGCCGCGGTAGGTTTGGTGTCAGGTGAGTCAGCTATGAAAGTTAAGTAAATTTTGAGAATATTTTACGGCGTCTGACATTTTAATATGTTATAATATACTTCTAGAAAAATTGAAAAATGACTGTGGCTGCTGATTTTGAAGGTTGCAATATCCTGGCAGCCACTTTTCAAAATTAAAAAAAAAATTTTTCGAAGTATTTTACGGCGTCTGCCATTTTAATATATTATTTATTGAACTATTTCCAGCCATTATTGAAAATGACTGACATTTTTTCCGGTTGCAACTATCCAATTTACAGCAAAACATTACCTGCCGCCCGTGCATTCGTATGTTCACAGTTGTAATTTTCACATTCGTAGAATTTATAACATTTATAACATTGAAATTATATCAGTAAGTGTAAAAAAATTATAAATATACAATTAAACGAACACATCTACTACTCTAAATGTGCATAATAAGGATAAAAGGTCTATCATAAGGCTGTAACAAATATGAATATATTATGAAGATGTCAAAAAAATCAAACATTATTTAAATATATCCATTTACTTACATCAGAATATATTTATTTCAGTCCTGTGCCTTCGGCTTGACCTTTCGGAGATCACCTTTCGCTCCTAGCATGTGAGTTTGCTTGATTCGCGAGGATCTACCTAGCCTGTAACTGCTTTGTGCGGCGCAGGGCGCGCGACACGAGGGGTGAGGGGAGCAGCGCGGAGTCGAACCGCGCGCTCGGTTGTCAGTACGCACTGTTGCCACAGCTACCCCGTACGGGGTAGTTCTACCCCTCTTGAACTTAATTTCACCCTCAATAGAACAAAGAACGACAATCATAGGCATACGTTAATGCGTCACTGTGATTGGTGTCATCAAGTGAATGTGGATCCACCCCGGTTCTACCCCGCTTCCTTTCAGAAATCTACCACGATGAAAGAATATCTTGCAGCAACACTGTCAGTACGCTTTTGTTCCTTGGTGTGTGAACACGCGGAGTTCGTGACTCAGTGATTTTGTGTTAACGCTGTTGTAGCGTTGGATACTGGATATGACAGTAAGTTATGTCTTTCTACTTAGTCTGTAATAGCTAAACAGAGGGGTCTGTGACGTAATATAATATAACGAAATCCGAATCTGTGTTAGATCTAGTATAGGTACGAGTACTATATTAGTATTTTTTACCACAATTTCTAAAGTTATACATTTTAATGATTCATGTAAAGTTAAATAAGTGATTTCTTTCAGCAAGCTTTAAGTTAAATACCCTGTTTGAGCATTAAATCACCCACTATAAGTCGCATTTTTGTTTATATTGCGCATAAAACATAGTGTTGATGCCGTGAAAGGCAATATTTCCAGGGTAAAGAAGCGGCCGCATCGGCGTTGTGCCGCGGATGAGTGGCAGCGGCATTGTGCCGCTGACGAGCCGCAGCGGCAGACTTGCCGCCGACGAGCCGCAGCGGAAAACTTGCCGCCGACGAGCCGCAACGGAAAACTTACCGCCGACGAGCCGCAGCGGCAAACTTGCCGCAATCGAGCGGCAGCGGCAAACTTGCCGCCATCGAGCGGCAGCAGCAGCTTACAGTCAATAGACGGCATCGGCTTTGTGCCGTTGATGAGCGGCAGCGGCAACATACTGCCAACCGGCATGCCGCTGTATGAGCGGCACCAGTAAACTTAAAATAATTAAGTCAGCCTATTGGACTATTATGGGCTATTTATATAATATTCTTCATTATACAGATTATTTTTGACTTTTACATGGATCTCTAAGCTATCCTAACCCGCAACGCATTGTTATTGTCGAATTGAGAATATATCTGTTGCAAATTCTCATTCGAGTATTTTTCCCCTTCAGATGGCGGAATGCAACCACTTCATAACATTGGGAGACTTGCCGGAAGAAGCAGCATCGTCAGAGGAAGATGACTTGATCTTGGACCGCTTAAAGTAAATATTGCCCTTTTATATGGCCAATTAGACCAGATAGTCTATTTTCTTTTACTTCTGGTTATAATCTTCCGTTCTAATTCTGCATTTATCTTGCAGACATCTGGCGGAAGACAGCCTGCCAGAGGGGTGGAAGTCATGGAAGACACTGGATCTCACAAAAGAAGACTGAGCGTCGTTTCTCCGA